GGTAAACTGTTCCCTCGGTGTTTTCCTCATAAGGGTCTTCTGAATCGCTCTTTATCTGGTTCCTCACCCAGGACCAATTTTCCATGGGAGACCCTACCAGGGGGCAAAAGCCCCTGGACAACATAGCCTCTGGGATCCCAGGGACACACAAACCCCTCCACCACGATAAAGTAGCGATTCACGGACGTTTCAACTTTCGAGTACGAATTTTGACCAAATTTTTCTTCCTTTCATCTGATTGGTCAATGTCATGTCAATCACATATTTAACAATCCAATCAGAGAACATATGGGTTTGGCTGTCAGAGTGGCGCTTTACTGAGCTTCAGGTCCTAAAAGGGTAATACAGTTTGAAGCTGGAGGTTCTCTATGTGAATATCCCATAAGACTCTTACAAGCTAGATCCCCTAACTTTCAGTAGCTGTTGAAAGGATAAAGTTGTGGTGTATCAGTGTAAGTAAGTAAGTAAATAAGTAAAATTGATTTATTAAGCGCTTTTCACAGACAGTCACAAAGCGCTGTACACAAATATTAAAATAAATGATACAATCAAAAGACATTATACACAATGTAAAAGATCAAATGTAAATAATGTAAAAAATATAAAATATGTAGATCAACAAAAGGCTTGTTTGAACAGAAAAGTTTTTAACTGCTTTGATAAAGAATCCATAGAGTCAAGCAAATGTAATTGTAGTGGTAAACTGTTCCACAGCCTTGGTGCCACAGACTGAAAGGCTCTGTCCCCTTTTGTCTTCAGTCGTGTATGGGGCTTTATTTTTATGTTATGTACGTACAACAGTATTACAACAGACTCTGAGTCTGTGAGCGGAGATGACGAGCAGCAGTGTATTTTATAAGAAGCTTGGATAAATAATCTGGAGCCTGGCCATGTGGCCTGGCTCTGTATGTTAAAACAAGAATTTTAAAGCGAATTCTAAACTCTATTGGGAGCCAATGTAAAGAATATAAGATGGGAGTAATGTGAACACGCTTGGTAGAACGAGTTAGTAGTCTGGCTGCTGCGTTTTGTATTGCCAAGATTTTGAATATTTGACTTGACAGATGGACAGAAAGAGGCAAGAACCTGACTAATTTTAGAATGTAGCTCAGGAGGAGCTATGATCATGGTGAGATGAGAGATGAGATAGCCTTTATTTGTCACTTGCAGGTCTTTTGCCCACAACCGAGATGACAGACCTTGCCGACCGTACATACAATACACAAACATCACATTG